TAGTGGGCCAGTGCTTGTGTAACCATCATAACACACAGCTGTGTTTGGACTGTGAGTTGTATGAGAGGTTGTTGGAAGTGAAAGAGAAATCAAACAATGTCCGCCACAAACAATAATTTCTGCTGAGCGCCGCCGTTTCGTGGGAAATCTAATAAAATTCGGCTAACACCGGTGGATGATGGGAAAGTACAATCCTTCATTATTGGTGTAGAGCAGTGGTTCTCCGTTATTTTCTCTCATGCCCCCCCTTGGGGACAGAAATGTTTTCACACCTTCCCGAGCCCGATCCCGAATCTTTATCTGTACAAACCACTGTATGAGTTGCTGCCACCTAGTGACTGGAGGCTTGTTATCATTCGAGCATTACAGCAATAGTTCACTCATGTCCATAGTCCATTGGAAGCCCCTCACGCCCCCCAGGGCACCTCACCGTGCCCCCCGGGGGGGGCCTGCCCCACTATTTGAGAAGTAGCGGCGGCGGCAGTGATAGCCTAGAAGTAAAGGTCCGATTCCAACACCTTGACCCTTTCCTCATTCCAACACTGAGACAAGAGAGCTGTTATGAAATGAGTCAGACTTTGTAAACAAACCAATCAAACAGCCAGCTGATATGCAACCTCACGTTCCCCTTGTTTCAGCGGCGGCGGCGGCGGCGGCGGCAGCATATAGCAAGTGAAAACTGAACATTGCTATGTTTTCACCATTCCATATTCAGCTGATCCAGGAGCTGCTCTGCTGAGTGTTTTCCTGTGGACGATGCTTTGCCGTCCACCGACCCTGACCCTGGTCTGTGTCACAGGATGCTCTGAGGAATGTGTCAGGTTTTCAATGTCACGAGATCATGTCAGTCAGAGACGGGGAAAATAGAGCAACAGAATTACTGGGTCATAACAGGTTGGACACAGAATGTACCCTCCGAAACTATATTTCCTTATCAGCTTTATTTGAAGGCTCGTACTGTAACTTGAAGTTTACCTGTGGCTGCAGATCTGAGAGGGACCATAGACACCATGTGTGCTTTGGAAACACAACAAACGCGCTCCTGTTGCCTTTATCAACAAACAAGACGTACAGGAAACGACACCAAAACACACCGTGACAACAAATGCGATAGAAATCCGCAGGAATCTAGTAGAAACACTCTGAAGCTAATATGGCCGTCATACATAAATGTAACACATATAGCTTAGCACAATAGGATATAGCATAGTTTATTATGTTATATAGTATAGTGCAGCCTATAATAGTATAGCATAGCATAGTATAGCACAGACATGGGCAAATCTTTTGACTCGTGGGCCACAATTGTCCTAAAATTGAACAGGGGCGGCGGAGTCAGGAGCAGATAGATGGAAGAACTAAGATAAATGACATGTAAAAGTCATGCAAGGCTAAAATGCTAAATAAATACTTTTAGCATTTTCTATGTCATCTATTCGGGAAACATGAGTACTGCAGGAAAAAGGCAGAAGTATAATGATAATATAAATAAAAGTTTGGCGGGCCGGATTAAAAAAGCTGAACGCGCCGCATCCGGCCCCCGGGCCTTAGATTGCCCATGTCTGTTATAGCATAACATGGTATATGAGTGACAAAAAGAGTTCACACTTGCAAATTTAGTTTTTACGTTGTGACAAAAGGTCAGGTTCAAATAGATTATCCCTGTGACATTCTGGAAGGTTCCTTAATCAGCCCGTGGAATGGTAACAGGTGTTTGTGATGAGGCCGGATATAAAGGAAAAGGTCATGGTTGAACACTTGGTTGTTTGGCACAAGGTGTTTAAAAATAAGTCACCGTCTAAGGTTATTATTATTGTTATTATTATTATTATATTTTTGTTTTGTTTTTTAAATCGAGAAGACCTTAGTGTAAAGGCGAAGGGCAGAAGTTTTCAACCTTCCTAACGTACAACTCGAGTCGAGTTGTTTGCCTCGTGCTTGTGCCGCCACCTGGTGTTTAGACTGTAAAACTACAGCCAGTCCTAACAACCAAAAAGGTGTGGACACCCCGATTTAGAGCAGAATTCTGGGAGTTACGGTTAAAGGCTGGTATTCCAAAGAATTCCAGTTGTTCCACCAAGAACAAGAACCCGTTACTGAGTAAAAAAATTAACATTAACTGACAGAGAATTGGATGTATGACTTTAAATTACTTGAATTTTTTTGCGTGGAGTAATTTAAAGTAACCAAGTAACTTTTACTCAAAGTAAATTTTTAATACAGTAGTTTTTTTACTTTTACTCGAGTAGATTTATAGATGGTACTTTTACTTGAGTAGAATTTAAGCAAAGTAAAGATACTTTTACTTAATTACACTTTTTATTACTTTTTCCGTCTCTGATTAATTCACTGAGGTATTTTGCTGTTTTAAAGGTGAGGAGTAAACCTAACATTCTTGCCACAAACTAACACCCTAAAAATGTATGTAAAATGTAAAACATCAGTCCACGAAAGTGCAAACTGTAAATAATGGTTGTCGTGCTGTCCCATATCCAACAAGTCGCTCGTCTTTAAAGCAAAAGCACCCAACACTTCTACAAACATCAGTTTCTCCGACACTCGAACAGCAGTGGGTACACCTGCTCCACGGCTGTGGTCACATCCTTTACCTTTGGTCCCGTAACCGTGATCGTACCATTGGAGTAAACTTGCAGAGTTGCTTTGGGATTCTGGACTCTGTAAGACGCAGCGGGAAAGAGCTCTGGTTCATAACAGGCGAACGGTTGGTTCTCTACGGCAAACCGCTCCAGGTTGATGGCGAACGGCACGGAACAAACCGCCAACACGTTCACAATGTGGAAGTCGCAGAACGTCACGTCGAAACCCAGCTTCTGCAGACAGCGCGCCACCCTGCGAGCCCCCATTTTGGCCTCGTCTTCACTCTTGGCGCCGGTGCAGACGATGCTCCCCGACGATGAGATTGTGGCTGTGATCATGGGCTTACGTAGCTTCATCAGGACTTTCCCTCCTCCTGATGGAAGGATGACATTGTTCATCTTTGATGCGATGGTGTGCAGGTCCAGGGTGCACCTGGTCTTGAAGGTTGCCACCACATTGGTGACACGGATGTTGTTATAGGTGGAATCCATGAGCTGCTGTTGGCGTTTCTTTTTTTACTTGGGTAAACGAAGCATCAGACAGATGTTTTTTTATTATCTTTTTCCTTCCTGTGTTTTAACTCACGCAAACAGCTGGAGCAAGAACGTCTTCATTTTCTTCCTATTTTTTTTTTTTTTGTACAGTTTATGGCACTACTTCAAAGGAAGCATGACTTCATGTATGAAAGGTACATCACAGGACATCAGAGTCCAGTTGAATCATATATAGAACCAGTGCCATTCAGACTGATGTTTTATTTTTCTATTAGAAACTCTATGTGTTTTTGTCTCGTTACATTGACGTCATATAAGAAATGAAAAAAAAACCAAAGCAACAGGAAGACGAAAGCCGTGGTGGAGGTCCACGGCGAATGTAGAACGCAATGTTACGGACATTCTGGAATTCAGGAGTACGCAGAGAGGCGAGAGAAGCTGATCTGTGATGCGATGGAAAAATGGATGTGATGTCTGGGGACACAAGTGAAGATGTTGGAGGACTTACCAGTAGGTGGCAGCGGTAAGGTTGAAGGTGGATGCCAACTGCCGTAGAGTCACTGGACTCCTGCCCAGAACAGGACCTTATTAGCCCTTCTATTATCTCTTGAGATGACAAACCGGTCGTCAACATTGAGCAAAGCTCTACCTCGTAGCTTCTGCTGCAGACCTCTACAATGTATCCACCTAATCTGTGAAGGTCTGGTCAGGCAGATGACTGAGAGAAGACCTGTACATTACAGAGACACGTCTGCATCACAGTCCAGAGAAATATCTTTTACTTCTTGGTTCAATAAAATCGTCGATCACTGTCTGATTTTCCCACCATTGAGTCCCTGACATTTTTAAAAGAAGACGGAGATGTTGATGTTCGATGACCTACTACTGGATAAATAGACCAAAACGTTTGCTTTAAAAGCCAACAAAGCCTGTCCAATGTAGCTGTGTGCCGCTCCTAGGCATCGGTTTTCTAACATATTCATATCAGGAAACTGACGGGATTAACTATGTGGTTCCTCCGGGACTCAGACCCAGGACATGCTGCATGTACGGCACCTGTGATAACCGCTACACCATGGAAGCACATAGCGGAATGTAGTGTGTCATTTCCTGGTTTTATTGATCCTTTAATAATGCTTCGAGTAAAAAGATTTAACTCTTACTGTATATTTTTAAGTCTTAAGTCTCAAGAAATTAGATTTGTATATGAGTCTTATACTGCAGGGGACCCCAAGCCCCGGTCCGTGGACTGGTGCTGGTCCGTAGGTCATTTGGTTCTGGGACACAGTGGGACACAGTGAAAAAATGTACATCCGTTTTACATCAGTCATATCCTTTTACTTTTTTTATTCAAAGATAATCTGTCAATGTTTCAAAACAACAGGTCATTCATACTCTGATACTAACAGAATAAAGTTCAAAGATGTTTTATTTTGAAAATGTTATGATCCTTCAATGATGTCGCTGTATTATTGGTCCACAATAACAGCTGATACCGGCCAACCATTCCTTACAAAAAAAGCGTTTGGGGAAGATTTTGTTGTCACTGCATCAGGGTAGAAAGGTTACAAATTAATAAAACCAGACATGTTCACTAAATGGCAAAAATGTAGTAAAAAAAAGAAAATGAAGAAGATTGTACAAGAAGTGCTTTATGGACACTGGAAAAGTAAATATGCAAGTATAAAGAGTTGCTAATAAAGATGTCAGATAATAACTTTTTGCCAAAATCTGATATGCCGATATTGTCCAAACACTTAATTTCCAATTGCAATATCAACCAATATCAATATATACAGTTGTTTTCCCCCAAAAGGACTCCACAAGAGATCCCAGGCATTGCGTTTTCAGATTTTCATCGTTGGAGGAAAACCCAAAACCCCATAACGATTCTTACAGATATTTGGATTTTCATCGTCGGAGGAAAACCCCATAACAATTCTTACAGATATTACAAAATCATTCAAATATCGGTCGGTCGATATTATCGGACATCCCTAGTTGTTAGCGTTCCAGACACCGTGGTGCCTCTGCATAAAACAGTCTGGTGACTAAAGACTTCCAGAAACGCTCCGGTCTCTGCTGTTGAACCCCTCGACAAACCTTACCGTTGTAGAGGAAAGCACGATGTCACCAAACATCTGATGACATCACCGCTGACTTCATCTTTTTTTAAAAACCTTTCATCAACAATTCATTTCAGCCACTACCCCATTTCAGCCACTAGGGATGACTATCTAGCGCACCAGCAACCTTAACGTTAACTAGAGATAGAAAGAGTAATAAATGATGGAAGATGACAAAGTAAAGGAAGGCAGTGCTGAAGCACCACAGCTGCCCACTGCTGGAGAACAGGCCGAACTTTTAAATATTCTCACCAAATCCCACGAAGACCCGAAAAAGGCTAAGAGCGTCTTCGTTGACGATGACAGCTGGTCAAAGGATTTGATACCTTGTCTTTCAACCCTCTGCCTGGAAAACATAGTGCAAAACTTTGAAGGTGTGCTTTTGTTTTTACCCATAACTCCACACTGCATGTCAGGCGTCTGACTGTCAATGTTCCTTCTATTCCAGACAACCCTGTACTGAATCAACTCAAACCCCATCAGCAAGACTACGTCCTGGAGAGGCTCTCTACATCCCTGCCTCTGCACGTGACGTCCAAATTGATAAGGGACGGCGTTTACTGGAGGCGGTGCTGCGAGCATCACTGGGATATCTGCGATGTCACCGATTACGAGAACAGCTGGAAACGAATGTTCTTCGAGAGGCGGCTGGAGAACCTGATCGAGGAGTTTGTTCCCGGTGTAACCGACCTCCACGTGATTTTAGACATGATCCCTCATTCTAGGGAGTACGTCAGACACTTGAATATCACACAGCTGCGGGTGAGCGATGACAAGACCTATTTGGACCACTTTGACTTCAACACTATGCTTCACAAGCTGTGCCTCCTGGAGGAGCTGCACGTGATTTGTAATGTGAGAGTTTGTCGGATGAACTTTGAATGGAATATGGTCGAGCTGTCGGAGCAGGACGGTGAGTGCCTCGCCAAGGCCGCTCAGCACTGCAAAACTTTAAAGGTAAGTACGGGGATTTATGGAACACAAATCGTCATAGTAGGGGTTCCCAACCCCCGGTCCGGGGACTGGTGCCGGTACGTAGGCCACAGTGGGTCACAGTGAAAAGATGTACTTTAGTTTTACTAATTTACTTCATTCCAAAATAATCCAGTCATATCCCTTAACTTACTTACAAAGTAGTTTGTTTACTGCGTCCTCCTTTAAAAACGTTGTTTGAGTTTAATGCACCAGAATAAATACATACATTCACAAGAAAATCTGTTAATGGGGGCAACATTTTGATAGAAAACCCCCTGTAATAATATCAATGATTATGGACTTATGTCACAGCTAAAAAAAAACTCAACCAAAAGACAGATAAAAATGCTCCAAAGGTTGTTTTTTTTTAATGTGATCAACCCACTGTACTCTTAATATCCACAGAGGTTAAAGGTCCAACGCAGCGGCATCAGAGATCAGCTGTGTCAGCTGATGTGCCCATACATGTATCACCACCACTCTCTGAGGGAACTCGACCTTTGCCACAACTTGATCAGCGAAGACGGAGCCAAGGCCTTGAGTGACCTGCTCATCAGGAGCAGGCTGGAAACCCTGAACATATGTGACAATCACATACATGACCAAGGAGCCAAAGCTCTGGCTTTTGCCTTGTCAAAGAACAGCACCCTGTTGAATCTCAACCTCCGACTCAACCGGGTGAAAGACGACGGCGGGGAGGCCTTGAGTAAAGCTTTACTGGTGAACCACACCCTCCAACATTTGAACTTAGCAGCTAACGATGTGACCGGCCCTACAGCTGTCGCTATGGCGAACGCTTTGGTTGAAAACAAAACTATAAAGATTATCATCCTGTCCTGCAACATGTTGGGACCTTTAGATGACTCGGACATGACGGACTCTCGTCTGCAGATTTAAGAGGAAGCAGCTTTATTTGTTGTTGTGAAAGAGCTAAGGCGGTCCGACAATTAATCTCAGGTTAGCGGTAAATCATGAATAATCATGATTAATTGAGATACAGGTTAGCGGTAAATGATGAATAATCGTGATTAATTGAGATTATTCTCAATAAAATAACAGGTTCATGTTGTAAATGTTTCACTGCTTTTTTATGTGTGGCTAAACCAAATAATGGAATTATCGTTGACTCCTCTCGATGTAGAGGAGCTTTATGATGTGTTTTCTACAAATTTTAATCTGATTAATTGTTCATTTTGACCGCCCTAAATATATATGTATGTATATCATTGAATTTGTCCTCTGTATTTAATCAATCAGAGGAAGTGGGCAATGAAGACAGGTGATGGCCCTGCCTTGGCCAAGACTCTGATCAAGATTTTTTAATGGGTTGTCCAAATGTTTGTCCACAATTTAAAAAAAAAATCAAGAGTAATTATTTTAAGTGACAGATTTTTTTTTGTTTGTTGTTGTTGTTGTTGTTTTTCACAAATACCAAACTCTGAACAATGACACCACAAAGACAGCATAAAGGGGGAGGGGGGGGAGGGGGTGACACCAGTGAGACTGATGACAGAGACACAGGTGAGAGTGATCACACTGATCAACAGACCCAGGCAGGACACAGAGAAGGGAGACAGACAGACCTCACATCATCAAGTCAATGTCTGCTACAGACTTAATGCAGCTACTTCTGGATTCAAATGGATTTGGAGTCCTGATTGGCTGAACACGTCAAAGAAGCAGTCAGCAGTGACCAATAACTGACATCGATAATTGGACATACCCTTTGAAAAGGGACATCAAGTCCACTGAGGAATTGAGCCAAACTCTACAGATAGGTATGAATTGTAGCTTTTACTGACTCTTGTCTTTCATATATTCGATGGTCCAAATAATCACATTAGGTCAAACATGGGCAAACTTCTGCCCGTGAGCCAGATATGTCCCCGCTGGGCTTTCTATTGTATTTTACCTATTTGTGTGTGTGTTTTTACTGTTGTTTTGATGCTGGACTGCTGCTGGAGTCCTAAATTTCCCAAAGGGAACTCCCAAGGGATTAGTAAAGTGCTATCTATCTATTTATCTATCTATCAATCCGTCCTGGTTCTTGTTTCATATTGTACAACAAATAGACTGTAATATCGAATGATGCCACAGGATGGCGACAAGACATCAGTAGTGCCAAATGTTTCTTCCTTGTTCTTCCTACTTCTTTGTATCTTCATTTATATAATTTCGCCCATGCATTCTAATTTCAACCAAGACAGACCAGGCCACCAGTCAAATCTTGAACCTAATTTTGGCGCCAGAAAATTGCCCACCCTTTGAACGTCGCAGTTTCGTTTCATGCTGGGCATATAACATCAAGTTGAAGCGTCCACAAACAAATGGTCGACACGGATATGGTAAGCCTTAAGTTCTGGCTGGTTTTTTTTTTAAACCAAAACATTATAATAATATTAATATGCAAATAATGACGTGTGTATTAAAATCAGTGGTTCCTAATGTGTGCTTTTAGCTGCCACTAGAGATGCGCGAGATAAAAATGGGATAGCTGTTTGTAGTGTTTAAGTCGTGTTTTCCACACAATTAAGACGTGTAAACAAGCGTTTCTTTTGTAAAAATTTAAAATCAAAAGCTGACCTTTAGTTCATTTTAACACTTTTTCAGTGTTTATATAGCTCCACACTCTACCGAGTTAGCTAAACAGTTAGCGCTTTAACACTGTCAGAGTTCCTTCTTTAACTCGCCAAACTGGGTTAAATTAACACTGAGCAGTTCATTACACTATGCCAGAGTTTTTTTTTTACCTCACTAAAGAGGTTTTATAAAATAACACTACTTTTAGTTATTTAGTTCCAATCCCTAAATTTAAATTATCTGTAATCGTTTAGCAAACGCCTGACCGGAAGCAAAAAACGTAGCCACGTTCGCTGGACATTAGACCAGGTATGACCGTGACACCGTGCTGTAGGTGCACAATTATTATTGTTATTATTATCACCCTTACTGATACTGTATATGTAACAGATGTAGACTTCCAAAAGCAGATAATGTATTGGTTGAAAGATACAAACAACCATGTCTGAGAAGTTTCTGGAAAACTGGATTCAAGCTCAAATTTCTAAAACACTTGTTCCAGCCTCCAACTATCATAGCACATAGAGATTTTTTTTTAAAAATCTGAAGTGTTTTACAAATACATTGTATTATTATTGCTGTTGTTGTTCTTGTTAATGTACGGTGTGCTTGGATCAAGTGGTCATCATTCAATGCAGTCAAACTCTTTCATTGTTGGGTAGGATTACTTTCATTCTAAATAACAAATGACCTGCATGTCGTCAGACTGAGAAATAAAAACTAAAGCTTAATTATATCTCTGGATCCCACTATCCACTGTTGATGTTTGGGACTGCTGGTTGTGTTTCGCCTTTGTCCCAGTCCATGATGTGATGAATCACAGTGCTGATTCAGCGTGCTGAATCAGCACTTTAGAACACATGGAGGCAGCAGAGCACTGTGTAACCAACTACTGGCAACTACTGTACGTTCTGCACATACCTTACTTCTCTGTGTTTAGGTTAAAAGTTGATTCGACACGTGCATGTCACCGACGTATAATACTGGAGGAAACCTTTTCCTGTGGCTGATTTGAAATACTTTTTTGTAAATTACAAATATATATAAATTTGCCAAAACATACTAATAGTTCTTTGTGATCTCGACCGTTTTGGTTTTAGCTATTAGTGCCATATACAAATATAACCCATAAACGTAAGCTTACAACAAAACATCCCTAGTTTTGACGACAAAACAAACATGGGATAAATGACAAATAAATCTGTACCTAAAAGTATTGTACTAATGGAGCAAAAATACCTTTTAGATCAGTGGTTCTCAAACTGTGGTACGTGCTCTCTAGTGGTAAATTAATATTTTCACATTTACACTTTCAATTTAATACATTTTTACATGTATTAAACAAACATTTTTATAAACATTTATAAACATCTCTCCTGTGTGGCGGAAGGTAACAGGGAAGGCTTATGCTATAGGCTATATTCTAATGTTGGTGGTATTCCAAATTATTGCAACAGCAGAACAAAGCACAAGATGGCAGTGTAGCTTCATTTTAGGCAGCACTTGAATGCATTTTATTGAGTGTATATACTGTATGTATTCAAAACTTTATTCATTAAATGATTTATATTTATAAAATGTTCCCACAACCCTATAAGAAAAATGAAAAAATATATTGGAAAATAATTGTTAATTAACCATTTATGTAATAACAAAATGTCTAGTGAGATTTTGTTATTACATAAATGGTTAAGTTTCTTATTTCAACTAAAGAGATTAATTAAAATTCCAGTAAACAGTTACATTTGGTCTTATTTGTGTCAAGGAATAAAGCCCGGTCCAGGAACTGAGGACATCTTCAGAATAGTACAGGATTGTCCAGGACAGCAACCCCAGCTGCTACACCTCCATCAGTGTCTTCATTGCTCTTGGTCCTTAGCAGGTGACCCACACACTGGTTCATCACCATGTCTTTACCATGTCTGGAAGATGGCAAAACAAAAACAAAAAGAATGGTTTGATTTAATTTAAGCTAAAATATCTTATTTATTAAGATTTTTTTTGTTGTTTTTTTGGGGGGGTTTTTGTCACTTGTAATATTAAGTAGTGTTTGTATGTGACGATGTTGTTTAGATGGCAGTTTTCACAGCACATACCATAGTTCACAGGGCGGACTGTTATAAAGAAGGGTTAGTGCATTTGTGTAAAAGTGAATACAGACCTAACATATGCTCCGTATACTCCCAGTTCACTGAGACAGTTGGACATCTTGACTGGATTGTCCCTCCTCAGCAGGTAGTTCTTGGATGGCACTGGCTGGATCTTATCCATCAGGATATAAGCCATCCTCCCTGTGCTGCCCTTCAGTCCCTGCAGCACCTCCACGATGTCTTTTCCATATATGTTGTTCCCTACATGACAACAACCACAAATCAATTACATCCTACCTATCTCTTCAGAAATCAACATTCCTACAATCCTAGAGCCTTGAAGGTCTTGTCAAGCCTGATCAAAACGTTCCTTGAAGCGATAAAGCGCTCATCTACACACTGTTTTTTTTTTTGTTTTTTTGTTTTTTTGGCTGAACGACTACATGTAAGTTTTGTATTCTGCATGTCAGATAAATTTGTTCAAACCTCCTCCTCCTTCTCGCTGAGGCTTCAGGACAAAACGTTCTGGCTCTGCCAAAGCCATCGCTTCTGCCTTGTCTCCCTCTGGACCCTGAGGACAACAACAACAACAACAGAGAATGATCAGACAAAAATAAATCTACCACAAGGTGGAGCTTAGATGCTGCCTTGTACTCCGTCCTCCTCTTCAGGCAAAAGAATAGTTTCGTACCTGGTCTAATGTGTAGAGTCCAGCAAACGTGGCTCTGATCTGCTGCGCTACCTCAGGCTGCTCAGGGAAGAACCTCTCAACTACTCCAGGTTTTGCCAGGACCTGCTGGACCTTCTTGGTTCCGGTCAGGTGTGTGCTGATGTCTGGACACTTGACAGCCTTGGAGCGCTCCATCATAAGACGAGTTTCCCAACTCTACGATAGACCAGAGCTATTTCAACAATCTAAGTAAACATCATCAGAGGTCTGTGGCGTGAGAAGAAGAAAGGCGTTCGATACCTGTTCAGAAACATACTGATCAGGCATGTAGCCATTTCTGAAGTACACCACTGCCACCTCTAGGCCGTCACTGAAATGAGAAACAATTTGACTTCAGTTTCACTTAGTGTGTAAATAACACATTTGAAAATAGGTTAAACCAGGTAAAAAATGTTACCCATGAAATATATTGTAGGATTAATTTCAAGGCAACGTTTTGCTAACTTTTACAGGTACGCTAAGCCATCTTATTTGCCATCTTTAAGCTGTTGTATCTAAAATTGTAAGCCACGACCTTTTAACATTGCGCTGAGCCGTTTACAGGTCACATTTTGTTTTTTGTTTTTTCACTTTCACTTTCAATTTGTTTACAGGTCACATTTTGTTTTTTCACTTTCACTTTCAATTTAGCTTTAGCTAAAATCTCATGATTCTTGTTGTTTCGGTTAAATGACTTTCAACTTTTTTTTTGGTACGTTACGCCAACCTCTTTTAAATTAACTCTTACTCATTCTCAGCAGGGATTTGCTGTAAGTGAAAGTGAAAGTGAACTGCTTGTCATTGTGACACAGCACACCACTGCACACCACAAAATGGGCCACTGCCCTTTGTTCACCAAAGTGAATGTCATGAACCTGCAGCAGATTGTTGCAAAAACCTGTTTAACACCGGTGTATGTTCATTGTTTAAATGTCGATATTTTTGCCACCAGTACCTCATAACGTACCTTAGAATGACATATTACAATACACGTTAGTATCGATATTTGGGCCCGACCCTACTTTACATACAGTATAAGCAGAAACAAACTCACACAAAAAGCTTCTTGTCCTGATCCAGGGATCCTGTTTTATAAACCACATCAAACCTCTTTCTTGTTGTGGGAACATTTCTGAAACACAAATACATTGCATTACAGTTAAGATTAAGGTTTCTATATCACCTTTGAAACGAGCTGATGGTTAAATGTGGCCAACGGTGACATTAAAGAAACAGTTGTAACAACCAACCTCTTCCACAGCTCATATTCAACACATCTCTGGTCAAAGATGTTCCTTTGCTTGTCTTCAACCAAGAACATGACGACTGCTCTGTAATCACAAGCGCAATATTTTGAACCTATGCTTCTCAACTGGTCCAGTTTTGGGACGTGCCATCAGTCCACAATGAAAAGCCACATCCTACATCCAGGAGAATTTTTAACTTCTTACTTTTCTGATCCATAGAGCTCCCAGGCTTTCGCAAGTCCTCCAGCCAGACCAGCAGCTACGTTGTTGTCTAGGATTCGCTGGCTCTCCTTGAATCGTCCCACCAGGTGAAGGGTTTTTCTGGCAGAAAAAAAAGAAATAGTAAGTAGGAATCATATGTTGATCTGCCTGATCTGATCTTTTTATGGTTTGGATGGCTAATAAGGCATTTCTTTAAAAAAATTCTTTCAACTTTTGGTGTTAAATATAAGAGTTTAAAACCTATTTGAAAGGCCCTGCCTATTGGCAATTGCAAATGTGGAAATTAACACCAGTTGTACCAGTTTGTAGTAGGAAAACATAATACGTGTTGCAAACAACTACAACAGCCAGAGGTGCCGATGATTCTTTTAAACAACTCAAAGCTGTTTACCTGTGGACCTCAGGTGTGTGTGTGCTGAGGCCTCCAAAGCTGGCAGCTATGGTGTTGATTTCTATTTGCTTTAGAACAGGCCCGTCATCCCTCTGATCCATCATGTAGTCAGAGCGATTAAGACCCATGGTAATGGACTAACAGGGGACAAAAAGAAAAAGTTTAATATGAAACAATCTGTACAATCAACAGGAACATCTCTTGAGTTTGAGAAAAAAAAAACCCGGGCCCACAATCAGGAACCAGTTCGAACTTCTGTGTCCAATCAAATTTGTAACACAACAAGATGAGAATGGACAGTAATGTGCCCACTAGAAACGGATATATACAGTGCACAGTTGACGAACTCCTCTCTTTTCAAACAATTCAGTTGACGAACAAAAATTTTAACCACAAATTGCCCCAGTTGTCGTACCACAACTTGGTCACCGAACAAGCCAACATATATATATATATACATATATTAATATGTATATATATATATATGTATATACATATATTTATACATACATATATATACATATATTTATACATATATAAATATATTATTATATATATATATATAATTGGTTCTGTTATTTTTCTCGAAATTCCCATTTGCCAGGAGGCCAGGTGACTCAAAATCAACATGATATTTCAAAGGTTACGTGGAACGTTTCTTGAATTCCTCAATAAACAGTTCAGTTTCACTAATGTTAATTCTGTTTGGCCTGTGACTTAGACTGTGTTTTAAATTCCGGTCCCTCGAGTGAGTCAACAGCACATCAAGTGTTTGAAAAAAAAAAAAAAAAAACTGCTCCGCCTGAATCCTCAGAAAACAGAGAGTGACTTACTGAAGACCTTCCTTCTTCTAAGACCTGCTGGTGGATCTTGAACAACCTTGAAGTGAAATCATCAACTTCAATCGTGCTGCAAAGACAAAGCACGTGATGAGAATCTTCCGTATTTTCTTTTCCTACATATCAAAGTATGAAAAAATAACACATTGTATGAACAACCCTTAATAAGAGGAAAGGAAATTAAAATACTACCTGGCGAGAGCTTCTTTTAGAAATTCAGAGTCCTGGCTGATTCTGTCCACCAGGGTGTTGAAATGCTTTTGCAGAGACAGTGCTTGATTATACAGAGCTTCAGGCACAGGTGTG